TGTCAAAATTTCAACTTGTATCCTATATAATAAAAGCTAATATGCAAATTGACTGAACTGTGGAATGACCAGTCGCTATGATGCCCACTGATCACCAGGGGGCAGACACTCAATGCAGGAGCTACCCCCTGGTGGTCAGTGCGCTCCCACAGGGGGAGCTCTGCTCAGCCACAAGCCAGGCAGCGCAGCGGTGGTGGTGGGAGCCTCTCCCGTCTCCAAGGCAGTGCTAAGGATGTCTGACTGCTGGGAAACGGGCCTAAGCCATCAGTCGGAAATCCCCTGAGGGCTCCCAGACTTTGAGAGGGCGAAGGCCAGGCTGAGGGAGCCCCCCCAACCACCCCCTTGCCGAGTGCACCGGGCCTCTAGTTATTACCTAACACCAGAAGAGAGGCAGCATACTGTGGTCTCAAGGTTCGGAAAATTAGGTTCTGTTACTAGTTCTGGCATTAATTAGCTTTGAAACCTTAAATCATTTCACTGATCTTTGCCTCAGTTCCCCAAAACAAGGAAGTGAGACTGAGTCCATGTTCTAACTTAAAGTCTGATTAATTTCTACTCTTCACAAATGTTCATTCTTACTTTATAGCCAATCATCCTAAACTCAATTTAAAACTTTAGAGATGAAAGTTCTTAAATTTCTTAATTTCTTCCCCTGAATATGTAATTCATGTTACACTAAATCTTGTTTTAAAAATGCTCCCCAAAGATTTTTTTAAATTGTCATTTAGCCAGAAAAACATGTTTTATCTACAATTTCATCAGCCACACATGTAAAGATAACAGAACACAACCTTTAAAAAAAACCTCAATACCTACTACCTCTTACAGGTATTCGTATTTCAGCTTGACCTCTGTGAATCTGGCAGGTCAACATTTCCTCTCACATTTATATCCTTTGTGAGGCTTGTTTGCATAGCCTTTGTCTTTTTAAAAATGTTTTTATTGATTTTAGAGAGAAAGGGGGAGAGAAACATCGACAAAAAACATTGATTGTCTGCCTCCAGCACACCCCCTACTGGGGATCGATCCTGCAAACTGGGCATGTGCCCTGACTGGGAATCAACTTTCGACCTTGTGGTGCATGGGATGACACACAAGCAACTGAGCCACACTGACCAGGGCAGCCTTCATCTTGATGTGCTTTTAAAGTTTTAATACTTGGTGCTTTCTTGGTAATTTGTATCATGTATACTTTGAAGAACATTAAAATTTAGCTCTGAACGTATCAATTTGTTTCAGGAGAGCACAGAATGGGGGTTGAACATCTCAGCAATGCCCTTTCGATGTGTGGGCAACCACGGGAACTTCTGAAGGTTTTTAAACACACACTCCCTCCCAAGGTATTTGAGATGCTGTTACACAAAATTCCCCTGATTTGCCAGGTGAGTACTTATTTATCTTTGTGAAATGGGCAGAATAAACAAATTGGGCTTGGATGCATAGAAATAGCAAAGTAGATGTGTGACTGGCCCAAAGTTTTAAATGAGTAAAATCTGAATTTTTTATTGCCTTTCTTAAGGGGAAACAAGCCAATTCTTTCATGTTCCTTTGACTATAATGTATCGTATATTTTGTTGAGAATTGTTTCAGCATTTCAATTTTAAAGATAGCATTGTTAACATTTTGTCTTTGTACTGTCAAAGATACCACAATTATTGACCTACTGTACTGTCCATGGATGCCTTTAAGTTAAATGGTAATTGTTATTTAAATGTCCTAGAGTAGTGGTTCTCAACATTGGCTGCACATTAGAATCACCTGGGAATCTTTTTAAAATCCTGATTTCTGGGCCTCACCCTCCGGAAATTCTGTTTCTTTGTTATGGGGTGGGGCACATTAGTATGACAAAACATAGATATCATGTTGGTAAGTTTAAACATATGGGCTAATCAGTGTTTTCTAAAGTATAACTTGAGAATGGTATCAAATGAAATCCTTTCAAAAGCTAATTATTAATAGGTATTAGTCCACTTACATTTACCAAACTGCTTGATATGCTTATGGATCAACTAGAATGTCCTAAAAATGCTTGGATTTTAGGACTCATTTAGCCATAAGACACTACTTTTAACTTTGGTTCATTTATTACACTGATCACATCTTGGCTGAGATACACTATGTATTGTTGGTCTGACTCAGAATCATTCGCGTTAGACTCAGCTTCTGAACAAAACACACATTCCACTAGACTTGCAGTGGCTCTCAACCTTTCTAATGCCGCGACCCTTTAATACAGTTCCTCATGTTGTGGTGACCCCCAACCATGAAATTATTTTCGTTGCTACTTCGTAACTGTAATTTTGCTACTGTTATGAATCGTAAAGTAAATATCTGATATGCAGGATGTATTTTCAGGGGTCATGACCCACAGGTTGAGAACCGCTGCTAGAGCCTAACAGTCAACTCAAATATTCCCAAGTTAGTCTCAGATGGGTTGTTTCCTGAAAATATATGGAAATGTAGCTAGACTAAGATGTGTAATGCCCTCCCTGACACAGAAGAGAAGCAAGAAAAGGATTGTGCATTGAAATGATTAGTAACTATTTTATGTATTTACCAGCAATTTGAGGCAGACATGAATGAACAGGAATACTTGGAAGATGATCCTGATTGAAAAAACACTTCAACGTATCCACAGTCCAATCAGAATACTATATTATGATATAGCATAAACAACTGCGCAGTGATATTTCCATTTATTATTTAACTTGTAGAAATAAAAATTTTTTCTATCTCAGTCATGATTTTGCTTTAAAATTAATAGTCACTATTGAAGAAATAATGGTTTATTTTTCTAATCAAGTGACTAAGCTCCTGAATCATAAAGACTCAACAAATGTTGCATCTTACATTTTGATTGGGCAATAAGACCTTCTATTTTGATTATCCCTGGTAAATAGCAATTTTGTTTCTCCAGTGGTTTCCATTTGCCAGTCCTGACAGATGGTTAACATGGTGGCTACTGCGTTCAGGGGATCCTATCAGATGAATCCTCACTTCCAGTGCAAAGCTATTGGCAGCTTTTCAGGGAAAGTCCACCCATCAGACGCCTCTATCGTGGCTGGCCAAGGAGTCCTGCTTTGGCTGCCAGGGCTTCATTCTGCTGAATATGATATTCCTGAAATCTCATGGATATTCTTTGCGTCATTTTTAAATATTTCTGTAAGCAATGTTCTGAACAGGTGGTCTAGAAATAAAATAAAGAGAGAAGATGGAAGAGGCAATACAGAAATATTAATTTGAAAAAAAAAAAAGCATGTATTCTAAAAGACCAACCAGTAGGTACTTTTTTTTGAATATACCTAAGAATTAAATGGTATTAATAAGTAGCAGGTGACCATAGCTTTCAACTGTTAATACAAGAGGTATTACATTTTGATACCTACAGGTCTGTAGGCACTAAAAACAATGGTAAGTCCCTGCTATCTGGACTAGATTTTCTGCAGTTGTGTTTTAGTATTAACTGAAAGCCTACATTCCCATTCCCTTATTCTGATTATTAACCGTTTGACTGCTAAGGAGCGCTATCGCGCTCTTCTTATGTTACTCCAAAAATGCGAAGAGCGCGATAGCGCTCCTGTTTTTTTTTTATGCCAAGACTGCGGAGAGTGTAATAATGCTGCTCCAAAACACTAGAATTTGTATAAAAGTGTTTTACATTTTTTCCCATACACGCGCAATTAGTGCTGCAGTTTTGGCATATGTCCGAAAAAAATACGTTAGCAGCCAAACGGTTAAAATGTAGGCCCAGTACAACTTTGTTCCTTTTTAATGAGAAATTCCATTCTTAATATTAAGTTAATTCTCAACCTTTTACTTTTTTCCAATAAAAATATTACACTTAGCATCTATTAAACATTGTCATTTATTTAACAAGTACTTATTCATTGCTGGTTAAAAGTTAAGATCTTGGCATGAATGTTTTCAGTATTCTTCCATTGGAAGACGTTATGTCACTTTAAGCCAATACATAAATGTTTTGATGAGTAGATTAACAGTTATAACTTCTAATAGGATTGGGTTTTGAGAGTCTGTCTATGCAATATGAGCGACCAAATTCGAGCTCTAGTTTTTCCAAAGTTACCCTGGATTCTCAGGATCAGATAGAAAAGCCATGTCAAGTTTCTCTAGCTAGGTCATCTTAATGGAAAGCTAATTACTAAGACTTTGCAATGGAACAATAATTCAGCAAGCCCCAGGCATCGTCTCTAAAAAAGTCTGCCTTGATTCAATGTGACTATCATATTAAATTTGTCATCACTAAACTCAAATGTTATGGGTCCTTGGCTGATTTAGTTCCTCCAAGCAATGGAGCATAAAGGCAGGCAAAATTCCTGTAATAACTAGGAACAAGCAAAATGCTTAGGGGGATTGCATTTAAGTTGCTGATCACAGATTAGAGAATTTTTAGTGGGTACACTTTTCATACCTCTTCAGGTTTTACTTCTCTTGTTGTGAAGTCTTTAACACAGTCCAAAAAGCAGGTTTCTGTAAGTTTATTGTAGGTTCCAAGAAATTCTTTAAACTATAAACAAATAAGGTATTTTTAAAAAACATAAATAAGGTGTTAATATTTGGTGTTTTAGAAAAATGTTTATTGTTGCAAGTATTACAGAAGTCCCTTCCCCCCCAACACTGACCCTCTCTCCACC